TGCCACTGCCCCAAGTGGGGCAGGGGGGCTGTGCCAGCCCCCCCCAGTTGTTCAGCTTCACACTGGAGCTATTCAGCCCCGGGTAGGGAGGGGAAGGGAGCAGAGGCAGGTGGGCACCGACACCCTGGTGAGTGGCTGCGGGTGTCTGGTGGCAGCTGCAGATACAGACAGGTTTCACATGGCACAGCCTCAGCTGTCTGGGAACGTGCTGAGCTTGTCACAGAGGAACAGGCTCAGCACACAGCCCCACAAAGAGCAGGATGGTGAAACAGGTAACATAGCCAGTGGCAGAACAGCAGGAGGTGATTCCCAGCTCATCCCAAACACACCGGGATCACTCTTCCCAGGCAATCCTCTGTGCCCGCCCCAATATTGGCCAGGACCAGGGGGAGAGCTCTGGTGGCTTCCTCCTCTGCTGGTTGCCAGAAGCAAGGGAGGAAACTGCAGCTCCCAAAGGGCACAAATTCAGCAGAACATGGACCTGGCAGCCACCCCGCGTGTCCCACCCCAGCCACGCCACCCTCTCCATCTGCCTCCCCAAACACTGTGCTGGGAACAACTCCCAGTTCTCTGGGCTCCAGAGTCTGAGCGTTGGTGACGTTCAGACAAGTGAAGTGACACGTGCGAGGCTGAAAAACACTTGTGGCAGCACACGAGACCAGACCAGGCTTGGACAGGATGTTGGGGATGGATCCCTTCCCACTCTAAACCCAGCCCTGATTCTCTTTGCAGTCGTTTCTCTTTAATCCCTAGTTGCAAGGGTAAGGTCCTTAACTTGAAGAGTGAATCCTATCGACACAAAAATGTTTAAGGCAGGAGGATTTCCTTCCTCTCACTCCCCTCGTCCCCCAAAGCAGTAAAGGGAAGAGCTGTGGCTGGAAGACGCCGGCAAACACAGCAATGGGAGCGGGGCCACAAACCCAAAGTGCTGGAGCCTGTTCCTCTGCTGAGGTTGTCCTTGGAAAAAGAGGGGCTGGATGTTTGCACAGGCAAGAATTCCTCCCTCCCAGGAGCCCAGCCATCCCAAGCTGTTGCCTGCAGATGTCAAGGGAAAACCAGCATTTCTGTGGTGCTGGAGGCTCGTGGTGGCGTGTTTAGGAGGGTCCCAGAGGGGCACAGGGGTCCAGCCCAGCCCAGTTCTGTGTCGCCGACTCCCCCAGAGCATCCCCAGCTGTACAAGCCGCTCTTTGTTTGCTCCTAAAGGGCAAAGCCTCCTCCCAGTCGAAGCATTCCCTCCCTGGCAGGGATTCCACGAGGCAGAGAGGGGGGAACAGCCCAGGAGCCGGAGGTTTCACCCCACGCAAAATGTTTCAGCACAAACTCATTGCTGCTGAAAGAAGGGTCTGGCCTCATGGCAGCACTGAGTCTTAATTCCCCCCCACATACACTTTTTTCAACTAAACGGGTCCCGTTTATCTGCTCCTGCCTGGAGGGTCTTCACTGAACCCAGCACGGGGCACAACCCCCTGGGCTGGGGAAGGGCTGTGGGGTTCACCTCCTGGCACCCTACCCTTGCTCTGCCCCTGGATGAGCTTCCTCCCTCCACAACAGCCTTTGGGAAACGGGAGATTTGTCCTCATTAGGGCCAGGGATGAGATCTGGGCCCCGGGAGGAAGAGGCGCTGCCAAGGCTTAATCGGGTTAGGGGCTGCAATTCAGGAAGGCATCGCTCATCAGCCACGGTGCTAACGAGGGCTGGTTCCTGCCTTGCAGGAGGGAGCTGGCCCTGCATGGCCAACCCTCACCCATGGAGTGGGCACTGAACCCCCCAGGGGGCCTCTCCTGGTGATGGTGGTGCCCAAGGACTGTATCCTACACCCCTTGCACTGACAAACACGTCACACATCTGGTATGGGGGGAATCCTCACGGAGCACGGCAAGGGCTGTGGCTCCTGTTCACCCTGTGAGCCAGGAGTCAGCTCAAAGAGAGGGGGTGATGGGCAGAACTGGGCACAGAGCATCTCTCCAACCGCCCAGTGCTGCACTGGAACCCAGGTGTCCTCCAAGAAGGGAGACAGGAGCTCAAGGACACCAGAGACAAGGACATTTCACTCTGGTCCTGTCTCTCCCCACGGTCTGGGAGTGGATGATGCTGGTGCTGCCAGCACCCCTGAGTCACCAGCCACCCTCACCACACCCTCTGCTTCGCCTCAAGCATGGCTCCAGCATATCCACAGGCCATCAAGAGCTGGGGACACGCATGGAACAGGGCCAGGCAGCGCTGCCTGGAGGTGTCCCTTGTCCTGGGGCACAGTCAGCACCAGGCTGCACAGGGTCCCTGTGCAAGGAGCCGGGTGGGCACTTTGGGATCACCACTGGGAGAAGCCAAATAGGCAGTGGAAAGGTCCAGCCCAAAGGCAAAGAAGCTGGCCAGGGACAGAGGGGTGGCAGGAGGGAGAGAGCAGGCAGCTGCCTGCACCTCCCAGCCCAGACCCTCCTCCACCCATGCAGCTCTTGCAGCAGTGCCTCGGTACTGGTTAGACTGGTCCCCTGTTTGCACAACCTTTCCCCCTCCAGCCAGCACCTCTTCCCTCACCCCAAACAGAGAAGCCAGCACTGTCACATCCAGACACATCATGCAGTGGCATCCCCGGCCCCCCACCCTCCCTCTGTGCTGGCGAGACAACCCCTGTGGTGAGCAGCGGCGATGCTGTGGGTGCTGATAACAACACCCCGGGTGCCTGCCCTGTGGGAGATACCCGGTGCTTCCCCAGGGCTGACGGGCACAGTGAGGGATGCAGAGGGCTGCCAGTTAGTTCCTTATTAGCCAAAGTGTCACCCTGTCAAGGTCAGCAAAGCAGCCCCAGACCAGGTGCTGACCCAAGGGCTTGGGGTGGGCAGGGAGAGCTGGCAGAGCAGGCACATCCCTGTGCAACTGGATGTCAGGGAGCACAACAAAACCTGAGCAGGTCCTTCCTGATCCCGCCAACAGTTCCAGCCCCTCCAGAGAGTCGGTCTTGTGGCTGCTCCGTTCCCCCATGCCCCAAAGACTCGGGACACCACAGCCAAACTGAGCCCGACCAGCAGCATCGCGGCTCGGCAGCTGATCGAGCCCTTCTCTGAGCAGCACTGCCACAGCAAGCGGGTCCCCACGCACACGAGATGAGCTGCAGCCCTTTTGCAAAGGTTGCAGGGACTTTACGAGGGTTTTGGGGCTTGGAGAGCAATCCCGATACCGCGCCCAAGGAAGCGGGGACACACCAGAGGCAGGAATGAACAGCAGCGGCTTCCCCCGCAGAACCGCTCTTCCACCTCCCCGACTGTGACTCAGAGACGACTCAGCACAGAAACACCCCTGTCCCCCAGAGCCCCGCACACGAACCGCTCTCCAAAACCCACCGAAACCCGCCTCCCAGCCACGAGCTGCTCTTTGGGAACCCCCTCGAATCACAGAACTTTTTTCGGGGGGGTTTTCAGCGCTCAGGAACACGCACACGAGCTCCCGGGGCACAGCCCATGGCAGGGAAAAACTGCACATCCATTTTCCACGGGGCTGGCTCTGCAGGCAGCACAGCCAGCTCCCAGCTCCCCCGCCAGCCAAGGCTGCGGGCCGGGCATTTTTTGCAGCCCTCGAAAGATCGTGGCCAAGATAGTTCTGGGCTTGCATAAGGCAGCAAAAGCCTTTAGACAGCTCAGCTCCTCCTCCCGCCAGCACCCGGATCCTTGGGATCTGGGAGCGGGGATCTGGCGAGAGGCAAGTGGGATGAGAGAAGCTAGCTTATCCAAGGACAGAGATGATGCAGCGGTGCACGAGAAACAGAAAGTTAAATGTAAATAAAACCCTGCACAGCTTCTGGAGACGTTCGTAACAGGCAGCACGTTCTCTCCCTCCCACTAGGTAGAGTATTTATGACATCTTCCGAGGAAAGCTAATTTTAGCCTCATTTGGTACAGACTCAAAACGAGGCGTCCAGAATAAGAGGCGAAAGATCAAATGGAGGAAGAGGGGGTTGTCCCAACACTGCCCTGCCCGGATCCGGCCGCGAGCCAGAGCTGATGACGGAAAGGGATCCGCTTGCTCCTTCCATGGAGCGGGACTCAGGGAGTTCTGAGTGCTACAGAGACACATCCTGACACCGCACGGGTTGGCAGAGCCCGGGGGAAGCCCAGTGCCAGCCCCTGCCTGGCCAGCAGTGACATTGGCCAGGGAGCCCCGTGTCCTCAGGGAGCCGCGTCCTCAGGGGACCTGCACTGGTCACCGGCAACAGCCCCGAGGAGGGGAGGGCAGAGGCACCCAGTGACAGCAGGGAGGGGCCCAGGAGGGGGGCATTTCTGATGGCAGGGAGGGAAAGAGATGAACCCAATGGGAAGCGGCTGGGGGGGTTCGAGACTCAATGCGGACTGGGAGCACATCACTCAGCGACAGCTGGTAGGAGAGGGACACGGGTGCTGCCCCTGCACTGCTTCCCCCAAAGCCGGGGACCCCACAGAGCGAGAGCAGCTCGGCACAGGGAGGGTTAAGGCAAACAAAACCCGAGCAGGTTCTTTAACTGGCGCCAAAGACACCAGAGGAAAATAGGACGAGCAGGCGAGATCTGTGGGCAGGACAGAGCCAGCTGGCTGGCACCACTTCCCGGGCTGTGCCGGAGCGTGTTTAGGAATAGCTCCAGGATGACGAAGGCAGAGGGGCCGCCAGCCTGGCGCTCGTGCCCCGCGTCGCACGGACCCTCCCAGGGGCCCAGGGCATGTCTGCCCAACCCCGGCCCTGAGCCTTCACAGCTCTGCTCCCCGAAACTCCCCCCAGGGGCATCCCGGCCAAAGATGGCGCTTCGAGGGAGAGCGGGAATGCTGAGAGAGCTTCTCTCCTCTCTCCGTCCTCACATGGACACTCCTGCCCCAGCTGGGTCATGGATTTTTCCTCTCCCTGCCTCCTCCAGGTTGCTCCTTCTTCCCTCCCGGCTCCCTGCCAAGCATGACGACAGCGCCCGTCCCGCTGCGGTCCCCCCTGTTCCCAGGGCACTCACCACTGTGGGCCCCCCCCCCCGTTCCCAGGGCACTCACCGGGCTTTCAGCTCCTTGTGCTCCTCCCGGACTTTGCTGAGCTCCAGCTGCAGCCGAGCTCTCTCCTTGGCCACGGAATCCAAGGTCTTGCGGGCATCCGCCAGCTCCGACTCGTAGGCAGCCTTGATGCCCGAGACCTCTCGGCTCACCACCTCCTCGGACTCGGTGATGCGGAGCCTCAGGCCGGCGTTCTCCAGCTCCAGCGAGCGCACCTTGTCGATGTAGACGGCCAAGCGGTCATTGAGCTCCTGCAGGTCCTCCTTCTCCTGCAGGCGGGTGATGCGGGTGGGGGACAAGGGGGTCCCCGAAGCCCCGCTGCGGGTGCTCCTCTTCTGCGAAGGCGTCGCCATGGGGTCCGGGGTCGAGGCGAAGGACACGGCACAGGTCACGGCGCGATGTCCCACGCCACCCGCCCAGCTGTCGCGGCAGCTCCCGATGTCTGAGTGACTTGCTTATATCCCAGCTGGGCTGTAACTGGGAGGAGGAGCTGCGAGTCAGCGGCGGGTGGAGTTATCCAGAATCTGGGTGGAGACAACTCGCAACAGTCGCGGCCCTTCCTTGGGAAAAGGCATGCCTGGGAAAAGGGGATTTGGGAGGGCAGCTCTGGGGGCACATCCCGGGGTGACTCCTTGTACACCCCCTCCCTTTTCTAGGGTGATTCTCCCCACGGTGGCTGGATTGAAGCTTGGGGGGATTTGGTATGGACAAAGTGCACCCTGAGAGGGGCTGCAGTAATGAGCACCCCCAGGACATGGCTGCCCCACACGGCAGGGCAGGCAGCATCTCAGCAGCTGCTGACCCCACCCCAGGGTGTGTGGGGTCCCTGCACACCCTGAATGCAGGAGCCACGGGCTGCACAGGACACTGGGGTAGCCCAAACTCTGGGGTGCAGGGACCCAAATACAGTCCCAGGTCACCCAAAACACCCTGGCCTGGCGTCCCCCCCGAATCCTGAGGCATCACAGAGTCCTGGGGCACCAGAGGATTCCCCCCAGTGGCTTTGCCCAGTTCTCTCAGCACTAGCTACCCCCATTTCCCAGCTACCCCCAGTACTAGTTGTGGCCAGTTTTATCCTTCCTCTCAGCTGTGACAATTTGTAACTCCACAAATCCTGAGCACCAGTTGAACCTGGTTTCCCCCCACTCCAATTCCCTGCACCGTTTCCTGCTCTCCCACCTCCAGCCATTCCCAGTCCCACCAGCACTCAGCCATCCTTCCAGTACGTCCAGTTCCCAGAATGGGTGATTCCAGGTCCTCCCAGGTGCTGGGAGCAGAGCTTGGGGTGCTCTGCCTCCCTTGAAGCGCCGCCAGGACTCAGGCAGCTCGTGATTTCCAGATCTGCCACACGCTTCCTGGCACCCCCAAGTGCTGCCACTGCAGGGGTGGGCCTTTTGGACTTCACCCCTCTTCCCTTGTGTTGTGCTGTGACGCTGATCCCTTCCGTGTGGGAGAAATGGCACTGAAATGACAAGGGGAAAGGAAAAGCAACCCTTTCACACCCTAGAAATGAGTGGTGGGCGGGGGTCCCGGGGGCTCCAGCTAGGATCCTCCTTGTGAGCCCCTGCTTGGGAAGTTGGGCTCTGCGGCACTGAAAGCGGGAAAGGGAGATGCCCCTCGCAGCTGGGGACGCCGGCGAGAGCCAGAGCACCCCAAAATCAACCTCCCCGAACCGTTCCCTGAGGACGGAGGGGGTCCAAGGTCAAGGGCACAGGCAACATGCCGCCTCCTGGCTGCCTGGCTCCTCCTGTCCCTGCTGCAATCCAAGCTCAGTTGGCTTCCCGGCTCGGGGAGCTCAGCAGAGCCCCAGGCAGGCTGGGAATGACTCACACAGCAACGGAACAACACACGCGAACACGCAGAGCACACACAGACACTCCGGCAATGATTAACGTGCTGGCAGCCCGTCAGTGCCGCCCGCCAGCCCACGGTAGCGGGATGGGGAAGGGACCCCATCAAACTTTTAAAAAGCAACGATCAAACTTTCGAACAGCAACAGCCCGACGCCAGGAATCTGCCCCAGCGCCATGACAGAGATGGGGGGGGTCGAGGGGGACGGGGCCGGGCACAACCCTCCTGGCGGGGCCACGGGAAGGGGTTTGGGAGGCGATTGGGGCCCTCGTGTCACCGCCACAGCCCCCTCCCCCGCCCTCCTTGCACCTCCTCCCCCGCCCCCCGGCTCACGGGAAGACCCTCTCTGCACACAAAGTGCTGTGGGCAGGGGGTGACTGTGCCCACTCAGGGCTGGTCTCCCTGCGGCCCCGGGGGGGGGGTCTCGAAAGGAGAAATGGCAGCTCTCCTTCACCCCTCTCCTTTGTTCAGACCCAGATGAATTCCCCTTTTCCTCTCTCCTCCTCCCTCCCCGGCTGTCCCAGCCTGCCTCTCCCCCCCACACATCCTCCCGTGCGCGTAGCCCCTTCCCTGCTGGGGAGACACCACAGCCCCGTGGACCCCCACGCGTGTCGCATCCCCGAGGCGGGCGCGCGTGGCAGGGCCGTGCCGTGGGGCAGAGGGCGCAGAGGGGATGCTGGCGGTGGCCCTGGCCCCACGGTGAGCCCCGGCGCGGAGTCTCGCTGCCGAAGGCGGGTCTGGCCTGCGCTGGGCTCGGCGGTGGCTGCCAAGCCGCGGGGCGCTGTGGGACACGCGCGGGCCGCCTGCCACTGCGCAGCTCTGTTTGGTTTTGAAAAGTAACCCCCGGCTGGGAGGGAAAGCGCTCGTGCCCTTTGCCCGACGGTGCTCCCTGAGCGGGAGGTGCCCGCCAGGGTCCAGAGCGTCTGCGGGGACGCGGATCAGAGCACCCCCAGGGACAGGGACAGCCAAAGCTTCCTTGCTTAGTGTGGGAAACAGCATCCAGGGCAAAGGCAGGGAGGGTCCAGCTTGGGCAATAGCTGAAAATCACAGCTAAGGGTCACTGGCACAGCCGGGCCCTGCTCTGGCACCCCCAGCACCTCCCGGCTCCCCGTGAAGCTCCTGCCGTGCACGGGACCCTGGCTCGCAGTCCCACTCCTCACTGCCCGGGGGGCTGAGCCTGAGGGCTCCTCCGGGCTGGGGGAGGACAAGACAGGGGACCTGAGGGAACGTGCTGGCTCCAGAGCCTGCCAGTGGTCGTTGGCAGCCTGGAGTGAAGAGCCCCTGGGGAGGGTCAGACTTTGGCTCCTTTGCCACATGCAGAGCTCCCCAGGATGGATGGCTGTTGATGCCCCCACACCACACCTCTGCAAACCCTCTTCTTCTGGGTACAGACTGCCCCACACTGCTCTGTTCCCCCCCACCACCAGGGAGCTGCAGGGCGATGTCCTCAGCCCCGCTGCAGAGCAAGGCAGGCAAGAGCATCCTGAGCCAGCACGGGCACAGGGGGATGGGGAACCCACCACCAGCACAGCCCCCAGCCAGTCACTGGCTCTGGCAAAGAGGCACTTGGCACTTGTGCGAGGCAGGAGGGTTTAACTCAAACCAGATGAGCCAGGAGGACAGTCTGTGCTCCACAGCTCCAGCACGGGCACGGCGCCACGCTCCAACCCACAAACATGGAGCTCTCCAGGTTCCATGGGCTCTGAAGGAACTCGGGGTGCAGGACCCTGCAGCAGAGCAACAGAAGGGTGAGGGGTGGATGGGAGCCTGGGGCTTGAGGAGAGGCTCTCAGCTCAGGCTGTGTCTTCCTCATGTGACTCACAAGGCAGAAAGCAGCCACATCCCTGGAGTTTCAACCCCATTCCAGCTCTTTAGCCTCCAAAATATTCCAGGAATATTGGGAGCCTGAAAATGTCGTGCTGCAAACACTTGTGCACGTGTGGGCAGTGATGGAGCTGGGGGTGGGGGCAGCAAGGGGAGCTGCAGCTCCAGGGACCCCCACACCAATGCAGCTGCTCTGGCACAGAGGGGCGAGGAAGGGGACGTGCCATGGGGCCAGGCAGTGCCCCTCGGGGGAGCCCTGTGGGCTGCTTTTCCAATGGCTTTTCAGCTCTTTTAGGCTCTTAGCAAGGATCCTGGGTTCACTGCACAGACTGCACAGCTTTGGCATCAGAGCAACCCAGGGCTGAGCCACCCTGGTTCCCCAGACACCTCCCAGGTGCTCTCCCCAGCCCATGCACTGCCCTCACTCTTGACCCCAACACAGGGCCATTTCTCCAGCTATTTCCTTTCCAGGGCAGATACACCCCATCTCCAAGTGGGGATTTTCCCTTTCCAACCCTCTCTTCTGGCCAAAAAGACGTAGCATCCTTAGCCCTTCACCCCCACCCACCCTACTACCAGAAGGAGGAGATCCCAGCCTCCAGGTTTTTTCCCATCTGACCCAAGAGAGCTGAAAATTGCTGGGTTGGGTGCATGCAGCAGTCCAGTAACCCTATAGCCCTGGCTAAGTGCCATGCCCGAGGATGAGGGGAGAAGTGGCGGCAGAGACAAGAGTGGGAGACCTGGAGAAAGGGGAATGACTTTAAACTGAAAAAGAGTAGGTTTAGATGAGCTGTTGGGAGGACATTCTTCCTACGAGGACAGTGAGGCCCTGACACAGGTTGCCCAGAGAAGCTGTGGCTGCCCCATCCCTGGGAACATCCAGGACCAGGCTGGACAGGGCTTGGAGCAACCTGGGCTAGTGGAAGGTGTCCCTGCCCCTGGCAGGAGGGTGGGACTGGGTGATCTTTAAGGTTCTTTCCAACCCAAATCAGTCTGTGATTCCATGATCTCCCCATCCAGCACCCTGACCCATCACATCACACCACGCTGACCTCAAAGCCCTGGCTGCAATGGGTTTCCAGTTCCACCCCCCCCAACAATCTGTGCACATAAGGAGTTTGGGGTGTGTGTATAAAGGAGTTTTAATTAGCTAATAATCTTTAATAGGGTTTAATTGCCTTGTTATAAAAGGTAATTACAGCAATAAATCAATTAGAGCTGTAAAATTAATAGATTTACCAGTTGTATTTATTGAGGAGCTGCGACTGGCAGCACACAGCAGCCAGGACAGCGCCACTGGTTCTGCTCTGATATCCAACAGTGGGAAGTAGAGCAGCCCCCAGGCTGCCCTGGCACAGATCCTGTCCAAGCCCCTCCACCCAGGACAGTCTGGGAACCACCAGCACCAGCAAACTGCCCCATGAGCAGCAGCCAGGCAGAGCAGATGGACAGACAAGAGGCCAAATGGGCTCTGTAGGTGCAGGCTCAGGCTCATGGGGCACCTTCCATGTCCCTTGGGGACACTGGAACAAGTCAAGTCTGCTCTGCTGGAGCTCCTGAGATGGGAACAGTTCTGTCTGCCTCTGCTGGGGCAGATGTCTGCCCACACCAACCACAAGGATGCCCATGTGCCCCCACATTCCCATGCTTCACTCTCAAGAAAAAAACATCCCTAAAATCCAGTGTCTGAACTCCTCTTTAGAAGAGAGCAGGGACCCGTTCGTGCAGGGACCCACGGGTTCAGCAGCAGAGACAGAAGCCAACCCACAGTGCCAGGTGTGCTCTGGGGTGTGCAGCTCCCCCAGACCCTCCCAAACCCTCAGCACGGGTACTATGGCTGGGCTGCCAAGTGGCAAGAGATGACCCAATGGAAAATGCGTCTCATGGCTTCCTGAGAGGGGAGAGCTTTAAAGGAAAAGCTGGTCTGGTGCTGGGTTGCTTTGTGGCTCTGTTACCCAGCCCCTGAGTGAAGTACTGAAGTGGGGAATCAGAGGTGGGATGCTGAGCCCTCCTGCCCCTTTTCCAGCTTTGCTGAGGGTTGCTTCTCTCGAGCAGGGTCAGCCTATTTTCCATAAAGTCATTAGACCATGCAAATATCTGCTCAAAATACTC